AGCAAGACAAACAGCAACCAGAAGAAAAGAAAGAAGTCATAAGACCATTTAATGACCAGAAAATAAATAGGACCACTATTTTCACCCATGTTGGTTTCTTCTGGGTAACCATTTCTCTTTACACCCATTCAATGTCTTAGTACGCCATTTCTCTTTACTCTCATTCAAGGTCTAAGAACTAGTCAACTTTCATGACTTAAGAAATATATATTGATCTTATATATATATAAGTATATGAACAAATGTCATAATATGTCAACAAATGCAATACTCCAGAAAATATCAATATGAAAGGGCAGATCTGCAGCATTTTACTGCAGTGTGGGTAGTTCAGTGCACAGTATATAACCGAAAAATTGTTGTACATATAAACTCTTAAAATTTTTGTTCACAAAGCTATGAATGCCATCAATGATTCAGCGATTACAATTAAGAAGAAGAAACCTCTCCTGTCTTAATGTCAATGATACATGCTAAAAATATGGTATTATGATAAAAAGTTACATTTTTTACAAAAATGATCAAGACAAAAAATATGTGTGAGCAACATGATTTGTATTTTGGGCCTTCTGAATGACCCATGGAATGTGATTTTGTATCAAATATTGCTTCAATTTCAAAACAAAACAAAATTCTTCTGAACTGTAAATTTCTTCAAAGCACCTTTAGAGGAATATCTCATTCCTTGAACTACATTACGACAAGAACGATTGGATTTTTACAATGACAAAGGTAACAATTTTCTTGATATCACCACTACCTTATATGTAATTCTCCAAACTTCCTCACCTCCAATCCGACATTAACTTGCTTACTGATATTACCAATGTCTTAGCACTAGTGTATATACTTACCATGGTCTTAGCACTAGTGTAGATACTCACAGTGGACTGTCTAACTGACATTACCATGGTCTTAGCACTAGCGTAGATACTTACCATGGTCTTAGCATTAGTGTAGATACTGTCCATGGACTGTCTAACTGACATTACCATGGTCTTAGCACTAGTGTAGATACTGTCCATGGACTGGCTAACTGACATTACCATGGTCTTAGCACTAGTGTAGATACTCTCAGTGGACTGTCTAACTGACATTACCATGGTCTTAGCACTAGTGTAGATACTGTCCATGGACTGGCTAACTGATATTACCATGGTCTTAGCACTAGTGTAGATACTCTCAGTGGACTGTCTAACTGACATTACCATGGTCTTAGCACTAGTGTAAATACTCTATATGCTGTCTGTCTAATAACCATGAACTTAATGCTAATGAAGACCATCCTGACTGGTACTTGACCTTACCATGGTCTGAGCACTGTAAACACTACTCATTTCCTTACTTATTAATATTGCCATGGTTTTAGCTTTTAGCACTTTTCAACATCCATATTGATGGGCTCATAGACAGTATTTTGATTTTAGCACTGAAGACATGATGATCAGTTTTTGACATTTTTTGTTTCTGGATTTATACAAGCCTATTACTTTCAAATTCCAATCTAAAGTAAAAAAGACTGACATGACTTGTCAAAATCAATAATCATAAGAAACAGATACTCAGTCTGACCACTTAAATGACGAGCAATGAGGAGAATCGACTGTATTGTAGTTAAATTCTCAGGACATTGCCCAGGAAGCTGAATATAAAAAATATATATTCATAAAGCACATTTGCGAGAAGATGGTAATTTATTGCACTACACTGAACTGGCTTTAAAAAGTAAGGAAATTATAATTATAATCTGTATATCATTCAAATTTGAAAACATAGCTAATTCAAATAACATGTAGTAAAAACGCCTTTTAAGACAGATGGCCTTTGTATAAATGTGGTCTTAAGGATAGGTTTGACTATATACATAAAATACATGCTGTTATATAGACAAAGTTTAGAACAAAAAGTTTCTAGAATATTTAAAGTGATCAATTTCATAATTGATTTCATGATTTGAATGAAATACAGTTATCAAATAGGTTAAAAAATTAGTGTTCTGCTTGGATTTGTAAAAATCTTTTTGTAAATAAAGTAAAATATCTATATACATGAGTAGTAAAATATTTATCACACACTAAACACTGAGACATATTCTTCATTTTAACAATACAGAAATTAAAACTATACATATTTATGATTTTATCAATCATATGGTATTGTCTATGTTTTATGGAAGAGAGTATCAATTTAACATATGTACATTAACAACAGTAGATTTGCAGCTTATTAGGTAACTACCTAAAGAAAATAATTGCTTTTTCATCACTTGTATATTAAATGTTTACATCAAACTCATGAAGAAAACTGTTATGTGCTGAGCAAATTAAGAAATTTACATAAATCACATATTTAGAAAATTCATTAGTTAAAAAAAAGAAAAATCAATTTCAAGAACAGAGCATCACATATTTACAACAGTTAAATACTGAATGAAAGTTTTAACAATAAAATGTAAATGAAAATTATATTTTTACAAAATGTCCTCTCAAACTCAAATTTATCGAAAACTGATTGAATTTCTTTTACATTCAAATGTCCATCACTTAATGAAAACATTCTCAACATGAACATGCTCAAATAATATATACAGCACAATTTTAAAAATTAAAAATAAAAAATAATCATTGTATTGGAAAAACAAGATGAAAATGATTCGAAGATTGTCAATCATTGAACATTTTTTTCTATTTGGTGAAATGAAAATATTAATTTGAATTATAACCTTTCAGTTTGATTACAGTCCTTTACCATCCATTTTGGATAGTATGGTTATTGACCGAGTAATTAATGACCGGAAAAAATGAGGCAACCATGGGCCAGAGGACAATGATTAGTCATAAATGCATTATTTGTTTGAAGTTTCACTTTTGATGCAAGTCTTTTCTGAATATAATAAGAGGTAGCAAGCAGCTTGACAATATCATTCATTGTTCAGTTCACTTGAAAATCTTTCTGGAATTGCCAATACTTCATTCCATGATACAGTTTGTCTTTTATCAAACTGGTTTTTTTTTATCTAATTTTGATTAATCAATCAATGACCTGATAATCATCATCATGTATATCATAACACAAAATCAATTCAACAATAAAATTTCAAACAAAATACTTTGTTATTAATTCACATAATCATTAATATGTATTCAAATAAATGATAACATAAAAATCCACAGATGTGTGGTCAGAGGTAACACACTCATCTTTCACCCACATGTCCAGGATTCTACTTCCAAAAATTATATGAAAAGGTATGAGGTCAACAGCCAAACCACTTTGGTTTTCCCTCAGTAATCCAGTTTCCTCCTACAGTAAAACCCTTAACACACATTAATCTAGGTCAAAAGAGTGATTACTGTAAATTTTAATAATTTGTTTCTCAATTGTTGTAAAATAAATAAAAGCCAATTTATCTATTTAAAAACAAGAGATTTTTAAGTATAGATTCCATAAAAAAATCTCCCAACTTTTATAAGCTTCAAGAAATATCAATGGTTAAAAAAACTGGTTTATCACTAACAAATTTGTTATCATGACCTCTATCTAGTTAAAACTTTATCTCTCGTTTCACTGTATTTTCTGTACCTTATTAACAACAGAAAACTAAGGAATCTATCCTACATTACATTAATTTCATAGACGTTTTCTCTGATACTGTATTTATGAGCAAATAAACACTGCCAAGAATTTAGCCCCTTTCTTCACTTTTGCAGAATAGTGAGCTAAAAGTGGCTTATATTAAGCACTCCAAAAACTTTAACACTAAACTGGTACACTATGGAGGGGGCTTATTTGCAGATAAATCTGGTGTTGAGTACCATCTTCATAAAACTGTTTCACAATACCACTTTATGTAGCACATGTATTGTGAATTATTGATACAAAACCTGACAAATACACATGCAAATATACAGATATACTATAACAATATATAATTATAAAGCAGAACTTAAGACACAGTTCAAGTTTTGCCAGATTCATGTTCAAGTTGGTTGTAAACCATATCTGTTATGCTGAATAAAAAAATACATGGCAGTAACCAATACCTCAATAAGGTATGTATCATAATAATTGTAACATCTTAATAATATCAATCACTATTTATATAATACATTAACTAAACAAAGGAAATTATTGAATCATGACCCAGCATTAAAAAATCATGAAAAGCAATATCACCAAATGGATTTTAAAAATATAACAATTAACTAAAATTGAAAATAAGTTTTTGTTATTGCATTTCACCTGTTTTTTTTTTTTTTTTTATTTTTCAGAACAAGCAAATTGAGCACTCCTAAATAGAGCATATCATTGTATTCCTAAAAGACATAAATCAATCATGATTATGATAAAAATATCTGAATTACCTCCCTTCTTCCAGGAGAACGACAAGAGTTATTTCCCTTATATCATGAGCCAATGCTCTAAAAACATAGAGTGATGGTAATTTGATTATTCATATCTAAGCAGGAAAAAATACAATCTATTATATAATGAAGCGACCATTAACTCTTTATCACTATATCTAACTTGACTGCGGTAGGCATTCCCTCATAGCTCAAATTTGACTAGCACAACAACAAGCATATCTAAACGTGCAGCGTATACACATGAATAATACCTACATTGCCATTACTTATAGAACTATCCACAACATATAAATAAATGTATTACGTTATAGAAGTCTATTAACACAAACTTGAAAACTTAAATGTAACCATACTATCTATATAAATCATAGCGTAATATTCATCATTCTTTAGATTTATCTAAATGTAAAGATACCAAACTACTACCAGCAGTAATGGAAATATTAACATAATTAGATTACCATATTTAAGAGGACTTCCAGAAATCCTAACATTATGCACAATGATACTTATCAATTAAGATAAAAACAAGTCCTTAGCGAGCATCTCAAGTAAAACTGAGATGAGATGCAAATTTAACCGTTTCCCCCAAAGACCTTTCAATGTTTCCATCACACACTATCATTGGGTAGTTCATTGGTCCCCCTCCACTTCGTTACTGTCCACTGTAACAGTCAACTCGACACCTTTTCCAGCCATTCCTTCACGACCAAGACATTTCTGAACTAATGGAATAAAATACAGCATGAAGCCACTGATGGCTACGATAGTCCCACACAGCTGGAATGAAACATCGTAACTACCTGTAGCATCATACAGCCAGCCTGTAAACAGAGAAAAGGACAGTATATAATGTTAAACCAAATTAGTATAAAAATTTGTGACAGGTGTGTCAGTACATTACAACACACTGGATCTCTTCTTTTCTCTCCCACTCTTCACATCTAATTTTACCATTGTAAAGATAATATTACATTAAGGTAGAGAGTCATGCCATGAAGTCCAGGTTTTTATATATCATTGAGGCAAAACTGTACACAATTTAATATCTTTTGAAGCGAGATGCAACTTTTCACCCACATTTCAAACTTGTTGTAAGAGAAAGATAAATCTGGCATTCCCAAAGAAAAAGACACTCACAACTGTGTCGTTTTGCCACTCTTGTATGCAGATCATGTCAACATGTTACAACTTTAAATAATGTCCCCACACATTTCAAGGCTTGCTTATGATTTATCAGTTACACTGTGTTGAGTTCACTACATAAAATCTATGTTAAAGTTCAGGTGGTACAGTGGACACACTCGCCTTTCAACAAGGCATCCAGAGTTCAATATGGGGACACGAAAAGGTACAGGGATCACCTGCCTGATTACATGGTTTTTCTCCAGGTACTTTGGTTAATTTCCACAGTAAGACCTCTCACACACTTCCATCATAGTCAACAAAGTGATTATCAAAAGTTGGAATAACTTGTTTTGCAATTGTTGTAAAAAAAAATGTTAAAGTTTACTGGAAAAAAATGCTAAAAAAAAAGTTTGTGAAAAAAATTATAAAAGACTTCTGTGTGATGTAGAGAGATATAACTATACCCTTTGAATGAGATTTTCATGTTTGACACACAGCAATGCTTTGTTTAAATTTAAAAGCTTACTTCTGGGTTAAGATATCTTTCTCTACACAAAAATGTATATTAAATTTTCTCTACCTGCAATAGGTGGACCAATCAGAGTGGCTACTCCCTGAAACATAAGCAACAGTCCAAAGGAGTTGGTCAGCTTGTCGAGCCCCAGTAAGTCCACCAACACCACAGAAGTAAGTCCTACATAGACACCTTCAGAAAAAATATCAAATAAAACATTTAGTCACAAAATATTTTTTTGTATGTATCGATATTGCAATATTTGCTTCTTGCTGAAATTAATTATACAAATACTGCATTAACAAATATGGTTTTCTCTAACAAGAAGGCTATTGAGAACATTTTAATGCAGTGTATTTAAAATTATACAAGATATGCTATAATTGTCTTGATTTATTGTGTGTACTTTCTCTAACAGTAAGATAAATCAGTGACATTACAATCTGTTAACCTGTATACAATATATCTATGAATGATACTTGGTAAACACAGTACTTTACATTTTATAAGGGTCACAACTTTATCTCCAGATAGAAATCTAAAACTAGTAACAACCTTCTAGTACAGTGATTAGCACATACTCAGTCAACAATGTTATCTAAATGACCTCTATTATCACAACAGATTACGGTTGGTCCCTCTAATTCCCAGCGACTGTCAATGTCCTCATTACATCCATGTAATTCTATTTCAGAAAGCACATGTTGATGTATTTACTTTCCTGCTTTAATTCTATCTATAGTCAGTTACCAGCAGACAACATTAATTCACCTTACTAGGGATTTGTCACAGGGCATCCAGTGGCTTAAGTGGCTTCATTGGAGTTTTAGTATGTCAGTGTCTGATAAGTAAAATACCTATATATATATATATACCTAAAATACCTATATATATACCCAAAACACCTATATATATATATATACCTAAAATACCTGTATATATACCTAAAATACCTATATATATACCTAAAATACCTGTATATATATATATATATACAAATCTAAAATACTTAATTATATACACCTAAATTACCTATATACCTGGTATAATCCTAAAATCATGTTACAGACATGAGTAACCGATACTAATGAATAACATGTAACCCACAGTATATAATCAGACATTCTATATATATGAACTATATATTTTTATTATCTAAATAGCAGTAACCATATATATATGAAAAAAACTGCTGTTTTAGTTTAAAGATAAAATACGTAAAATGCCTGATCCCTGTGAATCAATATATTGTATTTATCCTATGATAAACTAGGAGTAGGGGATTGGAGGTGAATGGGCTACACACTGTTTCAGGGTTTGTGATCAGGCTTATGGTAGGCCAATGAAAAAGTATTTGTAGTTTGAGGTTATTATTGGGTAAATACATATACATATACCATATCATTATATGTAATCTCATTTACTTCCAATGAAAAGATACAGAAAAATTTGTCCTATTTTCAGATTGATGACTCAAGGTCAAAGATTCCTGAAAACAATAATGATCGTACTTTGGCCATGATGACTTGACTCAGCCACTTGGCCACAGTAGCATGTATACGAAGTAATAATTTACAAAAGTCAACAGCTCTTTCAGGTCTAGTATATCATATATCTTGGCAGTCTAGAACGAGTCAAAACAGCAATAAAACACTCCACTGTGTATTTGTTCAAACAATGAGATATTGGTTGCACATATTTCATCTGTATTTATAATACTTGTCTGAAGTATGTAAAGCTGTATCACATGAAATCGCTCTATTTTACCAGATATGCAAGCTATTTGTATCCATAAACATGCAGTAGCACATGAGTAACTTTTTTTTCCCAAAAAATATCAAATGTTTGAACACAATAAAGTTTGCAGTGACTCGAACCCCATGATAGCAAGTAGCTGCCAGTTACTGTGTGAAGTATACGTGACATATACAGTTGATTAATGTATCGTTAGTCTATCACTTCGTGAAGCAATACCATGAGGATACTGTTGCTATCTGTTACAGATTGATAGAAAATTATATTTACTAAATGGGGAAATCTAACATTATTTTGATATTTGAATTCTAGGGATCTTTCCTAAAAGTAATGCAAGACTAACCAATTGTTGCATTTGACATTGAACATTAATTGATCAAGGTCATATTTATATTTGTCCAAGATTTGTCAAGGGTTAAAATATTATCAAAATTCATTAATACATAAGTAAGTATCGCCACACTGCAAGCAAAGAAAGTGGCATACCAGATAGTTCTTTGGCAATGTTCCCTTTAGACTAACCAACTTAAGAAATTTACACAAATCTTTAAAAATTAATCTGGAAATTATTTAATCAGGGATTTAACCTATTACAGGTACACATAAATCAACCATTATTACAGGTAATAGGTCCACTCACATCATCTGATCAGTTGTCATAACAACAGAGCATAAATGTATTTTTCCTGTAATAAGCCCTCCCTTTACAATGAGTCAGAGGTAGCCATTGGCTTCTCAGAACTAATGCACAGCTTATAAGTATACAAATAAACTGAATTATGTTTATTAAGAATATTAAAGATATTCTTTCTTGATTCTTGAGGTTTTAATTAGATTTATTAGGACTAGGTATTTCATGACTAGTTTTGTAAAGTGTAGGCCAAGTGAACAGCACCCATTCAAGTACTTACCATGCCTGATATTGCTTACTTTTGGAACATGAACACAACATTTAACCACATGGTTGTGAAAACATAGCTAATGGATTATGAAGCAGAAATACCTGTAATTATGGACCCCATAATGACATCTTTCATTTTATCAATAATCTTCATCCTGAAGGTCTCATTGATGTAATTTCATATCCTCAACTAACATAAATGTCTCTCTGATACTGCCTCAGGCCTAATTTCAATCTTCCCCATTCCTTAACAAGTCTAAAGGAACACTGTGTTTTCCTTGTCATCTGAGGGTACCCTTTAGGAGATGATCCCACCACTGCCACCAAATATAACATGCACCAGAAGTACAACCCGGGGCCTTTTCCCACTTATTTGCGAAATGCCCTTCCTATCTCATTTTGGAATACGTATTGCTCATTAAGGAAGGACAATTTAAGAGTAAACTGTATATTTTTGGAAATGGGCCTATATTTGGTCCTCAAAAGCCCCTGATAACAAAGCAGTTACCTAGTCAAGTGCTGACCAGACTTGATGTTTCTTAACTCCTGAACATGGACATAAAACTAAACTGCACATCCACAAAAGCAAGCTATTGAACTAGGCAGCAGAAATGCCAACATCAATGACCTGTCACAGTCTTTTACTCTGGCAATAAATAACTTACAGTTTTGAACAAAATATTCTCAATAGACATAGAGGCTTACCAATAAAGGCTCCGAAGACTGCAGCATAACACAACAGGAACTCAAAGCTGTTATGTAGAGGACTCAATGCAGTGGCAACACCACAGATCGTTAGGGCTGTGTTATACAGCATCAAACGATTCACCCACTTCTGGTCTGCCATCCATCCAAACACAACTCGACCAATAGTGTTAGCAATCCCAATCACAGACACCAGTAACGCAGCATCTGTTTTTGAAATACCTGATTCTAATGCCCTGTCCGGCAGGTAAATATATGGCATGTTGAAACCGATACTTGTGAAAAAGTTGGACACAACAAACATCAGAAAAATAGGATCCTTTAGAAGCGAGAAATCTAGCATCTGTCTCACTGCATCTCGTACTTCTGGAGAAAGATTTAAACATCGGAAAATACACCAATCATTTTCATTTGCAACTTGTTCTGGAATGGAGAGAACACTGGTCACATAAAGATCAGGGTTGGATTTGTACTGAGGAATGTTGATCAAACTCCCGCTGTAGAAAATGTCTTTACGAGCAAGAGGTGACAGATGGCTAGAGGATGACATGGTGGAATGTTGACGTCTGAATGTTCCTGAGCGAAGGACCACAGGGGCCACATTACTTGTAGGAGAATTCGGAGGGGATGATAAGTACCCATTCATTTTATGAAGAGCACCATCACTTCTTACCATTTGTGCTAATCCATTCTCCTCAACTTGAACCCTGCCAAGAATTTTATTCGCATCAAAAGCCACAACGGATGAGGGTGAACTTGGTTCCGTTGTCAAGGTCACAGACGGAATTTGAAGGGAAGAGTTTCGTTTTCCTTCCTCATTTTCCTTCATAAGTGCCTCTTTTTCACTTTTGCCATTTGCTTCAACATCATATTTTGTTTTCCCTTGCTTTGAAGGTAACAAAGGTCTAAATAAAAATCCAAAAATTATGCAATTGAGAATGATTCCTGCCTCAATTAGAGTAGCCCCACGCCAAGTATATTCGTCTAACAAAAGCTTGGAAAGAGGAGCAAAAATAAAAGTTCCCACTCCAGAACCGCATACTGCTATTCCAGTGGCAAAGGCACGTTTTTTCTCAAAGTAGTGTCCCACACTGACAATAGCGGGAAGGTACATGAGTCCAAATCCCAGACCTGAAACAAACGTATATTTCAATATAAACTCTTCAAAGAATAACTTTACAAGAGACCCTGGGTGCTTAAAATTTTAACAGATTTACGAAAAATGTTGAAAAAAGCTAAATTACTTCCAATCTGAGTATAGAGAATGTAAATGATCGCAACTCCTGGAGTTTAAAGTTTAGAGATCATCACGATAATCCTGGATTTCTTTCAATGCCAAAACAACAAGTTAATGCCAACTTACATAGAACAATATTTTTAAATGGATGTTTATATTAGAGACAAACAGTTTCCAAAATTCTATTTCAGTTCTATTCAAAGAGATTCAATAGATGTGATATAAGATAAACTTACCAGACATTATACCAAATGAGAAATAGAGGTAATAGATGTTTGGGGCAAAGAGACTGAGAATGAAGCCAAGCGAAGCAACCAAGGCACCAGCTATTGTCACCACACGACAACCATAACGATTTGTAAGGGCACTTGCGATGGGTCCTGAAATGAAAAATACCTCAATTACAAAATGTGTATTATATACTACAGTGTAAAATGAAAGTAACAGATAACATATCGTATGACTTTGAAAAATCAAAATGGTAGATTTTACCAGGGTTCTCTGTACCACAGGTATTTGTTGTAACTCACTAAACAATAAAAGTAAATAACCCCATGAGATCCCAGAGGAATCTTGATGCCCACCAGGGTATGATTTTTTCAGGTTCTTCATGAGTTGGATTTTTTTTCTTTTCTCTCTTCTTAACCATCGCTCCAACAACAGTAACATGGAGCAGAACAATATATGCCCTTTCCATGCCACAGAAACTTGGGAATAGTAATATTGATTCAAAATTCCTAGAGAGAAAACGTTGCTAAATTTTGATGATATATTGAAGCATCCATATGCTAAGAATACCAAAGGTCACAGAAAAGCATGCAGGACCAGGGATCAAGGGAAGTCTTTTATGGAATTGAATAAGATCTAAAGAAATAGCTATTCATAAATAAACTTCACCTTTAAAATTCAATATGGTATCTGCCTGCAAACAAAAATTTAATGTGCACAAGGGACCACTGGGAACCTAGACATGGAATCTGATAAAGATCCGTCAGTGCTATAGTAAAGGTGATAAGAAGAATTGTTACGGATAGAAAGACAATAACGGAGATAGAACCTGAATTGAACAGCACACCATCTGATGATGGTAGGCTAAATTATGTTTTCGTTGAATAATATTTTACTATCTTTATCTCCTTTTTATTGATTTCTGGAATTGCCAATAAACTACTAGTGAATATTTATACTTGTGACCTACTTCACTGAATAAACTATAAAACACATTATGTTAACAAACCTGACAGCCATCAAGTATCTCATAAATGTGGGTTCTGAGTCAAGTTTCTAGATGTTATAGTATTATCTCAATTTCTCAACCATCTTCAAATCTAAAAATTATTAATATATTGTCCTTGTACCTTTTTCAGCTATATTTTTGTCATAATGTTAAACTCAAAGAAACATAAACCAGAACCAGCAACCCCAACAATATGTATAATACCACAAGTGAAATTATTTACCGTAATTAGTTCATTTAATTTGTTTGAAGACTATCCTCTAAAGACATGAAAATAATAGCGGACTATATATTAGTACATGCAATGATAAAATGCTGGATACACACTATATATTGATTAGGTTCGCACATCAGGATTATCTGATGACACTGGATAAGCACTATCATAGATGATAATGCCTGTAGGTGTGTAATGATAGTCATTCAATATGTATACCAAGGTAAATTATTTTAAACCTGCAGGCACTTCAGTGATCTACAATCCCCTTATTGCATTCTGATAAGGTTTATTATTGCCTTACGTCCTTTTACCAGTCAGTCATTTAAGGATGTGCCGGGTTTGGTTGGTGGAGGAAAGCCCAAGTCCCCAAAGAAAGCTAGAATTTGGCCACTGACCCGTACAGTAAATTAGTGATTAAAATCAACCTCCCTCCTTCTTCAGCATTAATCATTACTGTTTATTGATAAATTAGTGATTGAAATCAACCTCCCTCCTTCTTCAGTATTACTCCTTACTGTTTATTGATAAATTAGTGATTAAAATCAACCTCCCTCCTTCTTCAGCATTACTCCTAACTGTTATTGATAAATTAGTGATTAAAATCAACCTCCCTCCTTCTTCAGCATTACTCCTAACTGTTATTGATAAATTAGTGATTGAAATCAACCTCCCTCCCTCTTCAGCATTACTCCTAACTGTTTATTGATAAATTAGTGATTAAAATCAACCTCCCTCCTTCTTCAGCACTACTCCTAACTGTTATTGATAAATTAGTGATTAAAATCAACCTCCCTCCTTCTTCAGCATTACTCCTAACTGTTATTGATAAATTAGTGATTAAAATCAACCTCCCTCCCTCTTCAGCATTACTCCTTACTGTTTATTGATAAATTAGTGATTAAAATCAACCTCCCTCCGTCTTCAGCATTACTCCTAACTGTTATTGATAAATTAGTGATTGAAATCAACCTCCCTCCCTCTTCAGCATTACTCCTAACTGTTATTGATCAATTAGTGATTGAAATCAACCTCCCTCCTTCTTCAGCATTACTCCTAACTGTTATTGATAAATTAGTGATTAAAATCAACCTCCCTCCTTCTTCAGCATTACTCCTAACTGTTATTGATAAATTAGTGATTGAAATCAACCTCCCTCCTTCTTCAGCATTACTCCTGTTTATTGATAAAGTGGGTTAGCAAGAATGTAGTTCATACCTGACAAAAATATAATTAAGAGATGAAGCAAACATATTTTGTGGTAATAGATTGAAAGTTTAACCATACACTGTGCTCTTGGCATATGGCAGTTACAGCTGACAAGCATAATTTTTTTACTTGAAACAGAAAAACAACAATAAGAACTGCCCCAGTTATCATATTTGTGGTTACCCTCAAATTTTACTTTTACATCAACAATTTCAAATACAAGGAACACAATACAGAATATTCTGTATAATTTATCCATAAATGTCCAAGAAATATCACCATGAGATAACTTTAAAAGTGGGTTTACAATGTACAACAAGTCCTCAGACAGGTATTCATAAATATAAGCCAACACAATTAGCATTACAACATTATTACACCAGTACCTTGTAATAAGCGGGACAAATTACTAGGCCTCTCATTGTTTATCTATACAAAACATGGATCACAGCCACTTTGGTATAATGGAAAGTCATAATTGAAATATAACAAAACTTACCAACAGTGAGTGTTACTCCAGGCACAAGAGAACCGACCCAAGATGTCTCTCCTTTGCCTCCCTTGAAGTACTCCAGAAAGTCAATGTAGAACACTCCAAATGAGTAAACGATTCCATCGGCAATAATATGAAGAGCAAAGGAGCCAAACACAACCATCCATCCCCATCCTCCATCCGGGGGCACTGGAACACTTAATTCTTCCTTGTCCTTGTCAGGGTTCTTGCCTTTACCCATTATGACTTCGCTCTAGTAGAACTGCTTCTGAATATATCCTAGTGTATCTAATACTCACAGCACTGTCACTTCCATAAAGCACTGCCACAATACAGACGTGTCAAGGATGTAATACCTGTGAGGTAAATGACTCCTGTAAAACTGCAAAATAGAATTCAATTTTCAGAAATCCTCTAAAAGAATTGCGAAGTCTTAAAATGTCAACATATCGTGGAAATGAAATGTCATTTGGGAAAAAAATCTGTTTTATTACCTTAATATGATTATAAAAATATTGCAAATGTAGTTTGTATCAATATCTTTTGATTGATTTTAATTAGCACTAATATCTGATTAAAACTCACCATAAATTTGTATTTGTATGAATCTGTCAATTACTTCCTCAGTTTTTCCAGATAGAAATAACTGTCTTGTTACAGATCCTGTCTCCGTAGTACAATAACAAGAAAGACAACAATTAAATCCTATTAGGCAATGCCACTGAATATTTACGTAACCGTTGGCCCAGTGGGACCAAGAAAATCCAGTAAGACTAGCCAGTCGGGAATGTAATCTCCTACGGTCCTTCCAATGGCAGATGACTGGAGAGTTACAATTCTTGTCATGAGTGAGCAGAGAATGCAAGAGGAAGTCTTCATAGAGGGAATCTGAACACAATCACAAATGTTTGTCAGAGAAATGGATCTCAACTTTAATGTATTGCAATACTGAGGATTACTCTTCTGAGACTTAGAGCAATGTTGGTTTGAAATCTAATCTGAAATCGCTAAAAGATAAACACTCTATAGATTCATTAGGGTACAAATACAAATACCTACTTTAGATATCAATTTTCATTTCATAATCAATATAAATTTCATTTCTCGAAAACATGATGTTTATATAAATCAATTCTATAAAATGAAAATCTCACAGAGAAATCTCTCCACTCCTATTAAGCATTGTTGATGTTGTTTCAAAACAGCACTTAAAAGGAACAAAAACTGTTCCTTACATCAGATGAAAACTTTTATGTTCAAAACAACTATCATATGAAGTGACAAGTTGAACAGTAAACACTACTTTTAAATTGAAATTTGGAAATTCGAGTTCCTTTCAATCAAGCTTTTGTGATGTATAGATTACAGATATGACAGTCTGTACTTGCAATTAAGGGCAATTTAGCATTACTGAAAAGTTGGAGCCATTGCAGGAGTTTCAAAGGAGACATGTACACATAGCCATTATAATCAATCAAGAGTTAAGATAATGATTATATTTGATTTGAAAATGGCCAAAAGCATTAACAAATTTAGATGCGTTGAGGCAAACTTTACCAGCCTGGAGGTGTAAAGATTTTTCAGGGGTTGAAAAATTATAAAAAGAACACAGATTTGGTTTTAATCAAGTGAAATGATGACCCAGACAAATGTAAAGAGGTTCTGTTCCAATTGCGTAAAATTTCACTTACTGGAGGTATGAATGTATTGAACTATATTTAGTAAAATTACTGGCCAAGGTCAAGGTTAATAAAATCATTGGCCAGGCAAATTCAAGGTTAACAAAATCACTGGCCAGGTAAGTTCCATATTAATGTGATAACTGACCAGGTAAGTTCCATATTAATGTGATAACTGACCAGGTAAGTTCCATATTAATGTGATAACTGACCAGGTAAGTTCCATATTAATGTGATAACTGACCAGGTAAGTTCCATATTAATGTGATAACTGACCAGGTAAGTTCCATATTAATGTGATAACTGACCAGGTTCCATATTAATGTGATAACTGACCAGGTAAGTTCCATATTAATGTGATAACTGACCAGGTAAGTTCCATATTAATGTGATAACTGACCAGGTAAGTTCCATATTAATGTGATAACTGACCAGGTAAGTTCAAGATTAATGTGATAACTGACCAGGTAAGTTCCATATTAATATGATAACTGACCAGGTAAGTTCAAGATTAATGTGATAACTGACCAGGTAAGTTCCATATTAAAGTGATAACTGACCAGGTAAGTTCCATATTAATGTGATAACTGACCAGGTAAGTTCAAGATTAATGTGATAACTGACCAGGTAAGTTCCATATTAATGTGATAACTGACCAGGTAAGTTCCATATTAATGTGATAACTGACCAGGTAAGTTCCATATTAATGTTAACTGACCAGGTAAGTTCCATATTAATGTGATAACTGACCAGGTAAGTTCCATATTAATGTGATAACTGACCAGGTAAGTTCCATATTAATGTGATAACTGACCAGGTAAGTTCCATATTAATGTGATAACTGACCAGGTAAGTTCCATATTAATGTGATAACTGACCAGGTAAGTTCCATATTAATGTGATAACTGACCAGGTAAGTTCCATATTAATGTGATAACTGACCAGGTAAGTTCCATATTAATGTGATAACTGACCAGGTAAGTTCCATATTAATGTGATAACTGACCAGGTAAGTTCCATATTAATGTGATAACTGACCAGGTAAGTTCAAGATTAATGTGTTCCATATTAATGTGATAAATGTGATAACTGACCAGGTAAGTTCCATATTAATGTGATAACTGACCAGGTAAGTTCCATTAATGTGATAACTGACCAGGTAAGTTCCATATTAATGTGATAACTGACCAGGTAACCAGGTAAGTTCCATATTAATGTGATAACTGACCAGGTAAGTTCCATATTAATGTGATAACTGACCAGGTAAGTTCCAGATAAAGGTGATAACTGACCAGGAAAGTTCCAGATTAATGTGATAACTGACCAGGTAAGTTCCATATTAATGTGATAACTATGATAACCAGGTAAGTTCCCATTAATTAATGTGATAACTGACCAGGTAAGTTCCATATTAATGTGATAACTGACCAGGTAAGTTCCATATTAATGTGATAACTGACCAGGTAAGTTCCATATTAATGTGATAACTGACCAGGTAAGTTCCATATTAATGTGATAACTGACCAGGTAAGTTCCATATTAATGTGATAACTGACCAGGTAAGTTCCATATTAATGTGATAACTGACCAGGTAAGTTCCATATTAATGTGATAACTGACCAGGTAAGTTCCATATTAATGTGATAACTGACCAGGTAAGTTCCATATTAATGTGATAATGTGATAACTGACCAGGTAAGTTCCATATTAATGTGATAACTGACCAGGTAAGTTGATAATTAATGTGATAACTGACCAGGTGATAACTGACCAGGTAAGTTCCATATTAATGTGATAACTGACCAGGTAAGTTCCATATTAATGTGATAACTGACCAGGTAAGTTCCATATTAATGTGATAACTGACCAGGTAAGTTCAAGATTAATGTGATAACTGGCCAGGTAAGTTCCATATCAATGTGATAACTGGCCAGGTAAGTTCAAGATTAATGTGATAACTGACCAGGTAAGTTCCATATTAATGTGATAACTGACCAGGTAAGTTCCATATTAATGTGATAACTGACCAGGTAAGTTCCATATTAATGTGATAACTGGCCAGGTAAGTTCCACATCAATGTGATAACTGGCCAGGTAAGTTCAAGATTAATGTGATAACTGACCAGGTAAGTTAACTGACCATATTAATGTGATAACTGACCAGGTAAGTTCAAGATTAATGTGATAACTGACCAGGTAAGTTCCATATTAATGTGATAACTGACCAGGTAAGTTCCATATTAATGTGATAACTGACCAGGTAAGTTCCATATTAATGTGATAACTGACCAGGTAAGTTCAAGATTAATGTGATAACTGACCAGGTAAGTTCCATATTAATGTGATAACTACCAGGTAACATATTAATGTGATAACTGACCAGGTAAGTTCCATTAATGTGATAACTGACCAGGTAAGTTCCATATTAAGTGTAACTGTCCATATTAATGTGATAACTGACCAGGTAAGTTCAAGATTAATGTGATAACTGACCAGGTAAGTTCCATATTAATGTGATAACTGACCAGGTAAGTTCCATATTAATGTGATAACTGACCAGGTAAGTTCAAGATTAATGTGATAACTGACCAGGTAAGTTCCATATTAATGTGATAACTGACCAGGTAAGTTCCATATTAATGTGATAACTGACCAGGTAAGTTCCATATTAATGTGATAACTGACCAGGTAAGTTCAAGATTAATGTGATAACTGACCAGATAAGTTCCATATTAATGTGATAACTGACCAGGTAAGTTCAAGATTAATGTGATAACTGACCAGGTAAGTTCCATATTAATGTGATAACTGACCAGGTAAGTTCCATATTAATGTGATAACTGGCCAGGTAAGTTCAATATTAATGTGATAACTGACCAGGTAAGTTCCATATTAATGTGATAACTGACCAGGTAAGTTCCATATTAATGTGATAACTGACCAGGTAAGTTCCATATTAATGTGATAACTGGCCAGGTAAGTTCCATATCAATGTGATAACTGGCCAGGTAAGTTCAAGATTAATGTGATAACTGACCAGGTAAGTTCCATATTAATGTGATAACTGACCAGGTAAGTTCCATATTAATGTGATAACTGACCAGGTAAGTTCCATATTAATGTGATAACTGACCAGGTAAGTTCCATATTAATGTGATAACTGACCAGGTAAGTTCCATATTAATGTGATAACTGACCAGGTAAGTTCCATATTAATGTGATAACTGACCAGGTAAGTTCCATATTAATGTGATAACTGACCAGGTAAGTTCCATATTAATGTGATAACTGACCAGGTAAGTTCCATATTAATGTGATAACTGACCAGGTAAGTTCCATATTAATGTGATAACTGACCAGGTAAGTTCCATATTAATGTGATAACTGACCAGGTAAGTTCCATATTAATGTGATAACTGACCAGGTAAGTTCCATATTAATGTGATTACTAGACAGGTAAGTAAAGGCCATGTAAGTTCAAGGTAATAATATAACTGTCCTGATCTGATAAGTTCCATATCAATGAGAAAACTGGCCAGTTAAGCTCCAGATTAATGGAATA